ATTTTTATCGCGACGTTTTTGTTGCGATATTTTTACCTCGACATTTTTACTGCGACATTTTGATGCGACACCATAGTAGACGACGATTATCTTATATCAATATATCAACCATGATCAAACAATTAATATAATCCACATAGGCGCATATTCAATAGGAACTATGATAGGTTGGAAACGTATCGTGATTACTATTGGTGAAAATAACGCGACAATTAATATAATCCACATAGGCGCATATTCAATAGGAACTATGATAGGTTGGAAACGTATCGTGATTACTATTGGTGAAAATAACGCGACAATTAATATAATCCACATACGTATATAGGTATAGGTCCAAAAATTGCTCTGTATTATCACTATAAATCAAACATAGAGGTAGTGACTTTTTTAATTTTTAAAGATTCCTAAGAAAAATAAATCCACTTTGGCTACTACAGTCTACAAGAACAAAATTTGGAGATACCTATAATAGATTAACAAAATTATTTMTGTACTATTATTATTTATTACACTAATTAAATGATGATTTTATGCTCTATGCATATTATATTAAACAAATATAAAAAAATACGTATTTATTTAATTGTATCAACTATTTAAAGAATCATATTCGTGAACTCATGGCCCCCAAGACGAGTATGTTTAGTGGGCCCACTATTTTATTGAAGAATAAATTAAAAAAGTAATAAAAAAAAAAAAATACTATAACAGTATTGTTGGAAAAACATCCTTCGTTTTTAAAACGGTTAAAAAAAGTAAATAGGGTTTTTTATACATATTTACATAAATTGGGCATTATATAAAGCCCCAAGAAGGAACAAATTAATTTATTATCATAATATTATTGTTAGTTCTAATATTGGAAAATATTCTAATCATTTGAACATTAGTAGGTATATTTAGTTAATTTAACATTTTTGTRTTTTTAAGTGCCTTTATTTTATACAGACGAATTTCATCATGTTTAAAGTTGAACAAATAATTTAATAAAAAAATTAATGTACTAGTAGTAAATACTTTATTAACACTTTAGGCATGCTTTGATCAAAACAATATAAAAATTTGAAAGATACAGTGTCAGTGAAAATAATATTGTTTAGTAAATCAATTTAACTGGATTAGCCCTAATGTGTGTTTGTTATTTCGTTTAAAAAATTAATAACGTTTTGAAAGTTATTTTATTTTTTTGAGAGCCGTCATTGGTTTTTCTTTGAAAGATTACGTGTACCAAAAATGTCAAATTTCCGTTATTTATAGGTTTGACTTGTTTTTCGCGCAAAGTCGTTAAACTATATAAACTTATATAAACTTATATAAAGTTTATAATAGTTTATTCTTAGTTCAGATAAACTATAGCATATCGACGTTCCGGACCATTTTCGTATCACTTATCACCTATCACAACAAGTGTCACGTGCGTATTTTAATGTAGGTAACAATAACATTATAATTTTCATTCGAATTATGATTTTTTTTTTATTAATCCGTCCGCTGGGGATTGATATTCCTATAATATTCTTATGTTCATTATACAACACACATATTAATATAATGTTCTATGGCGGCATATTAATATATAATGTCGTGTCTTAAACTAGTTTCAAGTACGCGTACCGTACACGGTTAACACGGTTTTCAGTGCCTTGATAATAATAATTACATTTTGCGGGGACGGAGTCAAAAAGATATTGTCGCCGTACCCGCCCTCGGGATGCTCGAGTATATTGAGGTATAATAATGGTTATAGGTATTGTGATATCGTCATAATATTAAATTAGTATCGCGGGGTTGGACGTAATATTTTCAAAACCGTTCCTTTTTGTTACAAAACACGGGAACGCCAGTGTAAATATTATTATATATTGGTATATTATAGGTGCACCGACGTGTGTGCAGGTCGGCCATCAAGGACTCGACGAGCCCAGGGATCGAAAGCCCGCAAGCACGTGACCGTGTTTTTGTTGTAAAACATAATAATATTATTATTATTATTATTATTATTATTATTATTATTATTGTTATATTGTTCATATTGTGCACGGTTATACAACAGCGGCGCACAAAGTACACGGTACCTACACGATATTATGTGATAATAATAATAATAATAATAATATATTATATTTTAAACATGTTATGTTCCCCTCCACACGCGGTCGGTAAAAGCACGCGGCATGTCCTCTTCTCGGCCACAATAATTGGTGCACTCGCCGGCCGCTTTATTCAGTCACATTCAAACGTGTCTTAGAATATAATCTTAATCCTGCCACTCACGAACAACGCGTAGGTACCCGATAATAAATAAAGTTTTAAATTTTTTTTTTTTTAAAGTACCGTCGTTCTATATAATATGGCCGCACACTCAACAATTATTATTTTTTACGCGCATACATAAAATAAGACCTATACCATCACTAATTGTATATTGTAGACGTAGTGTGYGCACTTAACGTGTAGGTTCTATTTTGCACACACCAATCGATCAAAATATCATCTCGTCGACATGACGGTGATACCCACGTTTGTAATCGATAAAATATTTTCCAAGATATTCAGAAGACAGTCGAAGAATTATACCGTAGAACGTGAGTACCTAAACAATATCATTATGTTATTTTATCGATTAACAAAATAAAAAATAGTAATAACAATAATAAAACATGTAATATTATTATGATTTTTATTTCCGTACGTCCGTCGCGTAAAAGTTCTCAGAATGAGTTATCGCACTTTATGTGCATACTGCAATATTCGTACTTTTATATCATGAAATAGATTTATCGTCGTTTGCTCACCGAACTAAGTTGTACTTCAGATTTTAGATAAGTAAAATATACGACTAAACGATTATTTTAACGAAATATCATTAGTGTCCATCATATCTAAATAAGTATCGTTATGATTAATCACTGTAATTAGAAGGAAATTAGAAGTTCATTACGATATTAATTTATCAACGTAGTTATATTATGTACACGGCAGAGTAGGAGAAAAAAGAAGTTAATATAATAATATAATATCAAAATATCAAATAAGTTGCTGAAATATTCACACGCGAATCACAATTTAGAAAACAATCGATTTAAATATTAMACCAAAAACGCTATTAAAAAGTAATGTTTCTAAACCTTACCTCTTCTAGTCCTTTATACCCTATGGCGAATTGCTCGAGAACRACTTTTTCAAGTTCTTACGGTTAACATAACATGCAATTTTGTGTATTACATAGTACCTATATGATTACAAGATGAAGTATAAACACGTACAATTTTCGTAGGATATAAAATATATTATCGTTACCCACGTTGTTGAAATACCGTTGGATATAAGTTTGGAGYATATAAAAATAAAAAAATAAATAATAGTAATCTATACAAACTTGCGTAATTAACACATGAAAAAAGCATGCAACCGCTAACCCACTTGCCTTCTTTCTTGTACTTATTATTACGTTAGCAATGAGATTTCACTTTTCCACCGCATCCAATAATTGCAACGGGCATCGATTAAAAAGGATGGTTAAAATTTATTGTGAAACAACAGTGAAGATTTATTTTAACATATAGAAATTGCAGGATTTAACTTAAATGTAAAATGTTARATGCGATATTATTTTCAAATTATACGCTTGATTTTTGATACTCGTCCAATATAGTGTTATTGCTATAATCTCGTCAGTAATATTTATAACACAGTATTCCATATTTGGTATGTTATTTATCGCTTTTATATTATTATCTTCACGTACATTATTATAATCGAAATTTGGAAATACTTTATGCATTTGAAATAATATTGACGCTGTAGGACAGATTCGGTATGATTTTATARCTAGTATGTATATAGATTATAGATATATGTTTTGTTTGTGTATTAATTTATGTCATGTATGTCTTATGCATTTATGAAAAAGAGTTCTTTAAACTTAGGAAATCAGTGCAGGTAGGTACATATAGGAAGTAATGGATACGTATACGAGTCGATGAATTCAGTTATTCAAATAAAAGAGATTTATATACATTGTCGAATTAAATTGTTGGTACAAAAATAAAATACAAAATACAAAATAATTTGTACGTTGTACTTACTTCACATATTATAGAACAAATTTATAGATATGTTGATTGTTGATAAACAAAATAATGCATTGTATGCAATTATTATATTACTCACATATTATTATATTATACGAGCAGCACTTTATTCCTTAAATCAATCAATAATATTAAAAATGATAAGTKTACGTACCTTTGCAATAAGTGTTTGGATTCAATATAAATTGCACTCGTCATGCCGAGTGTTGATTATTTATAATCCATAAACGACCATATACATTATCGAACACGATATAACATAAACGTTCGAGACGTTCAGCATTAAAGAACTTTAATTAAAAATTATCGACCAATTAAAAATCAATTTTTATCGAATTGACCAGTTTGAGTTTGGGTACGTCATATTAAATGTATAAATATATTTTAGACAACAATAAGATAAACGAGATACAATGGTTATTATAATATAATATCTTCTGAGCTTACGTGAAAATGAATGTGATTAACTGATTATAATGTGTGTTGAATAATATTTTATGTTAAAAACGATATTAGTATGTCATTTGTAAGAGTGATGCATTTTTAATTAAATTTGAATTAAAACAGAAACGTTGTGTCTGTATTTGCCGACTGTGATGACAATATCTACAATACAGAACACGGATGCTCGTCGGAATCACCGACCAATTACCATTATAATAATAACAGTTAGTTATTATTAATTGTGAGTTATAGACGTATATTTATAGTATTATTTGACAATTAAATACATATTAAATAATTACGGAGACACACAAATACAAGGAAATTAATAAAAACGAGTAATTCGTTGTTCAAAMATCGAGCAAAAAATAAAAAAGCAATTATTGTTCGTTCCATTTTTAAACAACAACAATAATAATAATAGTAATATTTTGTATAGTTGTGTTAAATATTCCGTAACCAGTTTCTTAAAAATCATATAATATGTCGTAAGCAATACGACGATACGAGGAAAGTGAATTTGTATTACTGTATAATAATTATTGTCGCTCTGCGTGTCATCACGTATAGTGAATTTATTGCATAGACGACTGTACATTTCGCGTTCGGAGCAGCTGTAAAAAGTATACTGTTAGGTGCCTCCGATGTAACATATATTATAGATCTATTATATATACGTATATACTAGACACGCGTTTATCAGACACGATATTTTCTAAATCTGCAATACACCACGTACCATATGTAACTGCCGACGCGATTTATTGCGTATTGCACACCCCCACCCCCCTAACCGACCGATTTCGTTACATTTTTTCGTCAGATTTTCGTCCCTCGAACCCGTATATAGGTACACGRGCGACAGTTGCGCGTGGTAGTCGCGTTCTATATAATATTATTTCGTATAATATATGTGTCTCTGTGTTCATAAGGTGGCAGAAGTCGAAGGACGTGACAAATTTTTCTTCTCTCCCTATACACACGCACGAACGACGTGCTCATACGCTATCCGCAGTCGTGTGTCTTTCAGGGCGTGGAGTCGTATGTYTCTAGCAGTTGGCAGAAAATAATAATACATTATTCGAAGCCAATTCGTACAGTATTAGATTGGTATATCATAATATTATAATAAATTAATAAAATGATAATAATTCATCCAATGATGGTTTTATACGCTCAACGCACATTATGCGATAATTCGACGACATTATACATTACCTACATATCGACCGTATGACTGGTTCTCGGCGATATAAAATAATAGGCAACGAGTTTATTTTTTTCTTTATTTTAAAATGCATAATATATAGTATGTGTGTAGGTAGTCTTTAACGCGGAAACGTGAATGATTTTATAAGTGAAATTAGACGATTCCTCGATCTTTACTTTGAATAAAAAAAAACCACCTTTGAAGGTAAGCAAAATATTGAAATCAATTTAGAAATGTTAATCATCATTGAAAATGTATTCCGAGTAGCTATTTAATTTACTATATATTATGCTATATATAATATTATAATATTCGTATCGAAAATATTACTGTCTAGTAACATGCACAATTTATCAGAATAAACATATCGTTTATAATTCAGTATAACTTCTATAATAACGATAATATTACAATAAAAAAATATAATTCACTATCACGTATAGGTACACATTTCTCAAACTCGAATAACTATTATGATTTATTAATAAACTACCAATGATTTAAAAAAAGTACGTCCAAAGGTAATTTTTGCAGGTCTGAGTTTAAATTTCGCTAAAATTGTTATCGCCTTGACATTATAATTAAAACATAATATATTCATCAGGCCTTTTGTGATATCACACTCGTGTGACGAATATATGACGGCACGATCTAAACAGAATTCTCGTTAAGAAACGGTACTCATATTTCAAATTTGGGTTTTTTTTTAAGCGTGATGATGTGGTTTTACACAATGAACTTTAATTCGTCGATGAAAATTTTTTAAACGCKTGTGGTAAAAAGAGTGTATACGAAACGTGTGGTTTTTGCAGTTACAACAATACAAAAAATATGATTCATAATAGCAATTGAAATTTACAACTTCTGTCAAAATCTAACAATAAAATACACCAAACATAATWATATGCCCGGCACGAAGAAATAGTCATCACAAGGTCTCGGATTGGACACTCCCGTCTAACGCACTTATACCTTATTACYAAAGAAGACTGMCCGACYTGTGAACTATGCGACAAAAAATTAACAATCATACAWATTACTCTTGAATGCCCCWAGTTCAACWCCTCCAGACAWATCCTCGAAAATCCATCATCGATAAATCAAGCACTTGGAGAAGAGAATTGCAAAAATATATATAATTTTTTCAAAAATATAGGTTTATCAAAATTAATGTAATTAAACAAAAAAAAAATTTTACATAATATATTTTACATCCCCTTTTATAGAAATATCTCCCCATAAAATTATTTACTTATAATTACATTTAGGCTAATGACCTGGGATGGATGTTGAAGCCTTTTATTTCAATAAAAAAAATAAATAAAAAAATAAAAAAAAATAATATGCCTTACAATCAGGCCAGATTGAACAAATTCGGCTCACCGAGTTTTTTGTGATTTATCGGTCCACTTACAAATTGAAAATATCCCAAACACTTACAATCATATACTATTGGTCTGTGCAAGTCCAACCCTTGGACTAAATTTTTTCAACTATAAACTCTTAATACATTTTCAGTCAGCCGCAGTCTCGTGACTTAAACGGCCGGAATATGGTCGTGGTCCACCCAATTTTACTTGCGCTAACTCGCCGGGCCAATCCGGCATGGCTTATAATATTATTATGATGTAAAATTAGTATCGCTATCCTATGAACCGATCGTATTCCATCGCGATAATTGAGTATTGTTACTCCGACTACGACGAAGGCGTATTGTTGATTTACATCTATAGACAATTTAATATGCAGCCGATTATCGTTATAATGAAATATCTTTCTCAACTGATAGTTTCACGTGGATCAAAACTATCACTTCGTCGGTTTAAATAMGGAGGAA